ATCATATATGTTCTTCATAGACTAAGACACTTGTGATCAAATCAAAAGCAGACAGCAATAAATAAATAAAAAAACCCAAACAACCACAAATCCACAACAAACCAGCAAACTTACATTTACCTTGATCAAGGGCCTTTGGAAAAGAGAAGTTCAACTAACAGCCTAACACCCATTTTCAAAAATCATTTCAGCTCAGGAATGCTCTCACTTCTGAAGATACAAAGATGCTTATGAAAACCTTGCCAATAACTCACAGGATAAGGGAGAGTAGTTTACTTGATACATTTTGTATTTCACTGAAACCACGACTTTTAAACAATACCTAACAGTTTTCAGAGCAATCTGTGTTGTAGGCTAACTAGCAGTCAAACTTGTCTATCAACAAGTCATGACATTCAGCATTATTAAACACCTGACTGACAAATTAAGTGCCTCAATTAAATGCTGAGTGAATTAGTTCACTCAGATGAACAAGATTTATTTGTCTCTTAATCTGCGATTTCTAAAAATCAAACCACTGAGTTTCCTCCACCCCTCCTTTGCCAGATCTCCCACTGTTTGTCAAAGGCACAGCAAGGACTGAATGAAAAGGGGAGCAAGGCATTGCTCTGTCCTGGCTCTGGCTAGGAGGTGGAAGGGAACTTAATGAGGACTAACGTTCCCAAATCCCAAGGAAAGAGATGACCAGTAAGCACCTCCACAGGGGCCAGGCCAGTTACAACCGAAGTTTGTTTACTCAAATTCAAATATCTCTTTACATGTTCAAACAGCTCACATACATGAGCATAGGTACAGTACAAAGAACTGCGCGTGTATCAAAATAAAACAGAACCACAGAACGGTTGAGGTTGGGAGGGACTTCTGGAGATCATCTGGTCCAACCACCCCTGCTCAAGCAGGGCTACCCCGAGCCAGCTGCCCAGGACCATGTCCAGACAGCTTTTGAATATCTCCAAGGAGGGAGACTCCACAACCTCTCTCTCAGTAAAAAAGTGTTTCCTGCTCTTCAGACAGCACCTTCTGTGTTTCAGTTCATGCCCGTTACCTCTGGTCCTGTCACTGGGCACCACTGACAGCCTGGCTGCCTCCCTGCGGGTATTTTTATAAATTGATGAGATGCCCCTGAGCCTTCTCTTCTCCAGGCTGAACAGTCCCAGCTCTCTCAGCCTCTCCTCATAGAAGAGATGCTCCAGTCCCTTCGTCATCTTTGTGGCCCTGGTGGCACACACACATCAGCTCATTATGTATTTACTGCTACTAGTTATCTTCATTAATTTACTTTTCATAACTTAAATATGCCAGAAAACAGTTAAGTGATTTTTTTTTCTCTGTTCTAAAGCCAGAACTAACCTCCTTAAGTCTTAGTAGTTCAACTCCAGACTTCTGGAAGAAGAAAAGTATCATCCTGCAACTTGAAGCATAAACCAGAAGATATCAGACACGAATAGCATGTCTATCACTTGATTTTACATTAGCACATTTAAGAAATTTAAGTGAACAGTTTAACAGGAATGGTTTTAAATAAACAGATTTATTTTCTACACTGACACAGCTGGGACTTCTATATTTTGTCAGTGAAGTCACTGAGAAAACTACTGACTTCACTGAAGCAACTGTGAGCCCTATAATTAACTTTCCTTTACCCACAGGCTGAGGGACATTATTTATCAACCATAAAATGAACAATCAAGTCAAAAGAGATAGGATTACCTAGAAACCTTAAAAATCTTGTCATCAAATCACCTGTGCAAGCACTGCTTAAATAGCTCTTAGCTAACAGTAGCCAAAGGCTTTAAGGAAAAACCTTGTGGCATTAGGGCTTTTGTCTTTGAAGATAAGTAGCAATTTCACAACCATAGAAGAAACATAAGAATTTCTAAGGAAAAAAAAAAATAAAATATTAGCACCACATCAGTTAGCAAATGCAAATTCATTGGAAGTGAGAACTTGCTTAAACACATTTTTCAGTTTCACAATTAACTGAGCCATGAAAACACCAAATAAATATTAAGATAGCTTAGTCACAAATTAAACCTAAGAGCTTTTGAACAATTCAGGAGAGCTAGTGTTACCACTCCATCTTTCATTTAAAGTGCCATCAATTAAGTAAGACTTAAGTATAAAAACAATTGATCAACTTTAGTTAAATCCAAGTCTCAGATAACTCATATTCTACCAATTAACTTTATTCTAAAACTTGCTAAAATATAAAGGTGAAGTTTCCTTCCTTTTTAATATGGTCAGTTCTCCTCCCACCTCTCCCCCCCCCAAGTTTTACCGTTTTCTTTCTTTCTTGCCCCCTCCCTTTTATGTTGTTCAAGTAAGGCTTTCATCTTTAACATAACATGTATTGTCAAGACCAACCTAGAAGCAATAGCTGCACAAGGTTCAGTTCCCTCAGGAAAAACACAAAGGTAGCAGAGAATTTCAGGATCCAATGGAAGCACATTAAGAACACAGAGGCTTAGAAGAGTATCAGTATCAGACTCCAAAGTCTGCTTTGGAGAACGTAGTAGTTTATCAAAAACCTTTGCTTGCTTCAGATGGTAAGGAAAGCTGGTATACCCAGCACATAGCTGAACTGATAAACAGTCTAAACACTTTAGTTGCCTCTTATTTGTTTAAACAATTTTTAGAGAGGCTGGAGAGACTGAGGAACTGTATTAGGGGGCGGGGAAAGCAGGAAGGAGAGGGATAATGGTTTTCTAATGCATACACTTATGAAATCTGCAGTAGACCAAGCAGGACAGGGAAAAGAAAAGGGAAATTTACTTCAGTGAATTAATTTAGAGAATAGACAAAAAATATTTTTTACAATACACAAGTGGTTTTCCGATACAAAAAATCACTTGAATCCATATTTGGATTATGCATAGGTATTTGATGTTCTACAGTCTTCAATTTTAAGCAGCTTATGAACAATGCAGGTAACCTCTAACTAGGACTGCCAGCCAATGGGTCCCTCTATGACATACAAAGTATATCCCAAAACTTGTGATATGCAGTTATATGCAAGTACTCTAATTAGTTGTATACACACACGCACACCCCCCCTGTAAAACACTGATGGGGCCCTTCTCTGGTCCTGAGGCCAGGTGGTACCAGCTGCACCCTCCTATACAGCACTTAACCTTAAATCTCCACTGGGCTCTATCAGACATGTTTGTAGCCCGAAGACAAACATTTAGGTGGGGAGAGGAGTCATTCACATTGGTTTCTGTTCAGATTGCCAAACAGAAAGCTGTAAGTGGCATTTTCATAGCAGAAAATTGAGTACGTGTTGCATTCCTCCAGTAAAAGGTACAGGCATATAGGGAACACTAAGAGACATCACTGCTTCTGGGATACCTTGGCAATGGAGGGAGCAAAACTTGTACAGTCTTACCTGTATCGCCTATTCGGAATGGCTTCTGTAGCTTCCCATACAGCACCCAAGCATTGTCCACAACTCAAAGTAACAAATTACTCCATTTCTTATATTTTTTTCCTCCACTGAAAGAGCTTTCTAGTTTTATCCAATGGTATGTTAATTCATACTGTGCCAGAGCAACATAAGCCCGGTAGTCAAATCTAGGTTTTACCCCCCACCCTGCACAGTAACTAAGAGTAACAGAGAACATACATACACAGTTGTGTATAGGACAGTAAACAGTTCAGCAGATCAGTTGTTAAAACAGCTGGTATGAATTGGGAGGATCAGGAACTAGCGAGTTCACTTGCTCCAATGCAGGAATGTTAAATACATGCATGCATGCCTACCTGCCCCACTACTAGGGAAGTAAACCACTGCTAAATTTCCTCTTACAAGAAACCTATGTAATTTGTTAGGATAAAGACTAAAGTATTCCTGCCTGGTAGCTCCCTTTGCAGCTTTTAACTACATTAATAATTTCTTTAGAATACTAAGCTACATAAATTATAACTTGCACTGTTACATATCTAAAGATAAATTGATATAAGTTGCTTAAAACAAATTCTAATCAAATAAGGCATTAGAATACAAACCAGCCATCCAAAGATGAAGTTCTCTCACATCTGCAGTAGTTTGAATACATCAGGTTTTATAGAAAATCCTAGAAATAAGAGCCTAATAGAGCATATTTCAAAAGACAACGAAATTATATTCAGTAACAGAGCATAAAGAAGTGGAGTGTTCTAATAGGCAGGATTATGAACTAAGGCCACCCTGGCTTTGCACTTTAGATGTAAAGCAATCTTCTTTTTTGTTTCTTTTACTAGCATCTTTCCTGACAGCCTCACATACTTCAGGAACCTATTCAAGCAAAGATTTGCTATTTTACTAAACATTTATGCAGGAATTAACACAGTGGGAACCTAATTTGGTTCCGATCTCTAGACTAGTGGAATAGTAAAACATACATATATAGTAACAAAATAAAAGTCTTTCCTGCTTTTAAGAATGATTGGAAATAGAAACAAGTGCCATTCTATATGTATTCAGATACCACTAATCTAATCATGCATTCAAGCAAACCTAAAATAATACCCTGCATAGGCAATTTGACTACAGTGTTCTTAACCTGAGACAACATTAACATTGCGTTATTCTTACAAAACAAAACAAAAAAGACAAAATGACAAACAGTACCTAAAAACATTTATCTCACAAATTCTGCTCCCTTCAGACTTCTTCCTGCTACTAGCACTGGCTGTTACCAAATTGCATTGAGTTAACCCATTTTTGAAACATCTAGAATTATTTATGATGAAGTAATGACAGAAAAATCAGAATGCTGAGAACACAAAAAGTCTCCATGGAATATTACCAATTGTAAGAAACTACAGATATTCCAAAAAGCTGGTAAAAATACCCAAATAAGCCATTTTCTCTCCTGGAAATAAAACCATGGTTAGCAGAATTCAAATAATGAAATAACATAGTACAACCAGAAGTATGGCATATGCACACAGTTACAAAAAAACCTAAACAGTAGCATTCTTGTAAAAGCAAAAAAAATACTTTTAGAATGGAAACTTACTTGTGCATATTTTCCACTCCTATTATGATCATGATATAGTAGGAAATTCCACTTTGTATAACAAAGTGTAAGGCATACCTAGGGGGGGAAAAAAAAGTAAACCCTCATGGCAATTTCATTAATGACAATAAATGGCATGCATTTATTTATTTAACATGACGTTAAATAGATTTGTCAAATTTTAACTTCATCACTGCTTCCAAAAAACCCTTTTTATTCTATTTAGATTTTCTGCAGCCCTCCCTTCTGTTGAGAGCTTCACCCTTTTAGCACAGCAGAGAGCAGTAATGAACAAAAACTACAGACATAGCTAGAATTCTCCAGCTCATAAACAATAATACAAAGAATATGTCCCATAATACTTCCACTTGGCATTATTTCATATGTAAATAACATTAATGTTTTGTGGTTCAAATTCCATACTCATCTTTTTACCCATTTGCAACAGTAGGTAACTCAGAAAAGGCCCAAAATATCTTAGTATCCACAATATTAGTATATGGGAAGATTGCCCAGTCAATAGAAATGGTAACCCTGTCCAGCCAGTCCCTTCGCCCCAGGTCATCAATAACTGATAAAGGGATGGTGGTGACAATGGTCTCAAAAACACAAGACAAAAAAAACCTACACACCAAGAACCCACAGATCTATTTCACAAAGGTGCTCTAACCTCTTTTTTTCCCCCCCACAGCTTACTACCATAGCTACCACATCACCTTTGTTTTGGATTTTTTGGCTTTTGTTTTTTATTTAATGAGTTCTATTTCAGTAAGCTAGTAGAACTGGCGGCAAACCATTGCCAGTGATTGGGGAAAAGCATCCGATCTTCAGTAAGTTTCTCTTTCAATCTGGTACTTTACCCTAAGTGCTTCAGCAGCATACTTACATGTGCTCAAGTGACACACTGATCTAGTTTTGGATTTTTGCCACAAAAACCAGCCTAAAAAGCAGCTAATATTTTGTTATACTGATACTGTTTTCTTTCAGCTTGTCATCAGCAATTTCCTAACTTCACTCCTCATCTATTCATAAGGAAACGTCTTCAAAGACTTTCAACAAGAAACCCAGCTCTATCCATGTGAAACCCTACCAACTCTACACATGATCAACTGAGGGAAAACAATTCACTTGAATATTCAAATGACCTTCAAAATCTTGACTTTTTATGGAAGACCCAATCGGCACATGGTCCCCTGCTTCACTACTAGCTAGTCTCGTCTAAGATATGACTACCTAAAATTCAAACGCACATTTAATATGCAATTGCCAAACAAAAAAAATATTCACTTTTTCCTCTTCATATCAGGCACATATTAGCAACACTGTGTAGCAAAGACAGGCATTAGTGAAATGACAACAATTTAAGTTTAAGAAGTTTGCTTCTTAAACAGAGAAAGGGACATAATAATATACCAAAGTCTGGAAAAAATTGAGTTGACATGGAGTACCATATCAAGACTGCAGTTTCAGAAAATATTTCTTTCAGAGTTGTTAACAGTAGCAATATGATTGATGTACAACTTGAAAATGAAAAGGAATGCATTTAAATACAACCTGAAGTAGTAAATTTTAGCTACACACAAAGGGGACTGTAGTCATTTTATCCTATTTGCTTTTATCCCAAGGGAATTATCCCTTCTCTTCCCATCCCACATCACCATCACTACAAAGGTAACTGAAGACTAACACATCTGAAGTTGAAACGCACTACATAATGACTAATAAATACTCTTAAAGGGTGCAGATTCCAAACTATCTCCCACATTTAGGTTTGCGTGAAGTTTTCTGCAAATCTACATTTACTATAAACACCATGTAAGAAAACAGGAAGAGTTTCCCTTTCATACACACACATGTTATAACACAACTGAAGAGCTGCTGAAGGTATACCACGGGATTGTAACCTACACGTATACTTGATTCCTTAGGGAGGGGTGAGGGACACCAAACAAAACAAAACCCTCAAAAAACATGCACCTATAAGACATACTTAAGCAATAGGAAAAAGAGCTGGCACAAGTGCAACAGAAATATCAGCTTTCTAAAGAATGTGTACTTTTAACATCTTAAATTATGTTTTTTCTTTTCAGCACCTTAAGAAAGCTTTTAGTTCCATGACTAAGAAAAACACCTTTCAGGAAAATAGAAATTCATTGCTAAAATAATTGCTTTAAGTATGATCCAAAACAAACTAGAATAATCTGGATTTCTACTACGGCGTAAAATTTCTCTCCAATTTCTTCTCCTGGGCTTATTGTCAATGAGAGGCTTCCACAAATCTTTATTTATGTCTGTTGGGGGTGGAGGTTGTTTCTTTCTAAAGTTTCCCATTCCCAAATTTCAGATACAAATATATTGTTAACACTTTCTGATCACAAGCTAGAATTAATGATTTCTGTTTTGAAACAATGGATACAGAACATGCTGCTAAAGCTTACACAGTTCTCACAAAACCCACACACAGTAGCACCTATCTCACATACCATCCTCCTCATTTGGTGATAAGACTGGAAGTCTTTGACATCAGATTGTTCTCTCAAAGCAGAATACCATGGCCAAAAATTTAAGAAATACATGGGAGTTATGGAATTATATACACAAGTAAACGGCATGTGTAAATCCAAAGATTAAAACTTACTGATTTTTCTTTTCCTAAATTTAAAAGCAATACATATCAACTAATGTTGAGAAGCCTCTGCAACATGCCAAGATCGAGGCCAAATCTGTGGTTTGGAATTTCAGGATTTATTTATATACACAGCATGTGCATCTTCCCACCTGCACAGCAGCTTGATTAATTGCCCCTACTTCAGTAATAGTCTACAACAGTCAGTGTAAGTAAGTCTTCTATATACTTAAAGCTGAGCAAGCACTTTGTTTACCGTGCAATAAAACAGAACCAGCACTTAATTAATCTTAAACCAGCTTGGGAAGATGAGAGCCATTTAGTAAGCTAATTTTGAAGGAAAAAAAATGAAAATAAAATTCACGAAACTAAGTGCATACCCTTTATTAACCCTGCTAACATTCCGGCTTGCTATACTGAAAAGATCAAGACTCAAGAACAGCAGTTACAGAAAATTTGTGCTTAAAAAAAAACCCCAAACAACAAAAAACCACACCCACACTCCAGAACATAAAAGAAATCCTCACACACACACACAAAAAAAAAAAAAAAAAAAATCAAGGCCAGCTCCTTTCCAGGTGTTTTATACTACTTAGGAGCATCACCAATACTGCAGTTCTGGCCACTCTTCCTACAAAGTCAGATTATATTCAATATTCAGAAAAAGACACAGCAAGTTATTTCATGCAGTGACTATTTAAGAGGAATTATCTTAGTCATCACACCTGTGCTGTGCCTCAAGAAAATACTTCTCAAGCAAGTTTACAGAAAAACTGGTACAAGTTAAACAAACTGCACCTGCTCCATTCTCTCAAATCCACACGAAGACAGTATATTAGTTACCAGTTTGCAAATGGGAGATCTTTCAAAATTTGTGCACCACAACAGAAAATTTAAACTGATTTCTGTACATTTGCAGCACCTAAAAACCACAGAATTAGGTAATAAGGTTCTTCATAACAAAACTTTGCTTCGCTGCAAACAAGAAATGAAAAACTACAAGTCCCTGAAAAGTGAATTTAAATGCAACTTACCATCCAAAACAAAAAAGTGCAAGATAAAGGCCCAAGAGGGTTGCAACAACATGTCTTATAAATGGGCTAGTTTTGCTTGAATGAAGATATGTTCGAAACCAAAAAGCCGCAAGCAAGGCAAACAGTTGGCACACTACAAAGTTGACCTGCATAAAAAAGAAAAGAAAAAACTTCTCACACACTTGTGTATTAAAAATTATCAGAAATATCCATACTTTATTAGCAATTTGTAGAACCTTTGGCTCTGCCATAGCTCTTACCACAGCACGTCAGCCTCAAAGAGCTTCTCCTGGGAACCCCTCCCCTCCTAAAGCACAAAACTGCGCTCCCCGGAGCAGCCAAGAAGAAAAGATACAACAAACCTGTAGAGGCAATCTGTGCATGAATCAAGAAAAAAATTTTGTTGTTTTTTTTTTTTTTTACACATATTTTCCCATAAATTTTCTATATACTAAACCACTCTGTCAACCATGGAATCATTATACTCTCCCAGTAATGCAAAGATCTGGGTTGGCTTTTGTTTGTTTCTTAAGTGAGCATGACTTGGAAATACGTATCAGGTACACAAAGCACTGGCAGAGCACTTCAATGGCCTGTGCAGAAGCAGGGCTCAACAAAGTGCACTTCAGTGGTATATAATCAGATAAACAGCTTGGTTGCACACTGGATTTTCTTCTTGTACATTCAAGTAGGATAGTTTCAGAAATTCCTCTTCCCTTCAGGTCATTTATTCTAGAAGATAGAAAATCTCTCGTGTATTAAATATTTAAAGACGTTAGGGCACTGAAAGGAAAAGTGGAATTAAAAAAACCAAACCAGTGAGTAAAAAGAATCATTCTGACTGTGGCCTGAAAAAAATGTAACAGTAAGGGCACAATAAAGAAACAATTTCCTCAAATACAGCAACTGCTACCAAAACTGGCTTAAGCTACAAAAAGCTGGATGAATTCCTTTATTTTGAACAAAACATTTCCCACTCCATGGATTTTCTTCTATAGAAGACTGCCTAACAATTGTCTGTGTCTAATAGCAGCATCCCAAGGCATCCCAAGCAACAGCTTGGGGACCACTCCTTCAGGTCATAAGCACTCCAACACAAGAGACTTGCCCATACTGCATGCTTGACTAGTCCTTAGCACAACAGTGTTTTAGCCTGTTTGATGTCACTTAGCTGAAATATATACTTAATCTTAATACCACAGGGTACAGTGTCAACACCGTTTTTATGCTGATGACAGCAGGCTTGATATTGATGTTTACAGCACCACAGTGCACGCCTTTAGTACTATAATTCAGCTAGCCTGTTCCTTCATAATTTTTCAGCCAAGCTTCAGGCAATATGTAAGGGTGTGAGTATGCACACATGGTTATATTTAAAGGAAAAGCTCAATAACACAAACTACCTACAGAACTCTCATCTTTGTAACAATTGCATAGCTTCCCTATTTGCAAATCCAAGGATAACTCCCCTTTTTCCAGACCACCCCAAAACCTTCTGTAACACCGAGCTACGCAAGCACTA